CATACACCCACCATCCACTACACTTTTCGGCAAGGTAACACTACTTACTTCAGTTTCTCCTGCAATCACCAAAGATGATCTGTAATGTCAAAAGCACTGTACGGATTTGTGATACTGACAAACTAACATGCGAAACCCGACCGCTTGATCTAAAACTTCTGTAGTAACAAACCGTTTTTTATTATGAGTTCATGTTCAACAACCCCATCGACCTTATCCAGGCTTACCCACATTAGCTATGGAATTTTGCTCGAATAATCAAACATTGAGCAATGTGCAGTTTCACTATGCAGAATGGAAAAGTCCCTCCTAAAGGGCTTGCAACTCCTACAAAATAAAATGACTCTTCATGCAATCGATTTAACCAAAACCCCGAGAAATTAATTGTGAAAGAACCAATTTCTCACCTCTGCATTGCCTAAATACAAATCATCTTCCGCTTCAATATTGATGTTTTTGAGTCGTACTGGTCCGACAACTTAGATTTACAAGATCCTTCATTTCGATAGGCCAATACAGAGGCCAAGGATTAAAGAAGAACAGAGCTTGGCCACGTGACCAAAATGCGGTCGAGGAATTAAGTAATATGCGTATACGCAAGAAACAAGAACATATACGAATATTTGTAATACAATGTTAGCTACGCTGTAATATCTACATATATACAGAAACCCATACTTACATAAATGTATACTGCGACTTCATTGTTAAATTATACATATTCCCAACATCACATGTATAGTGATGATAATCCTACTAGAAAACACCACACAGAATGCACACCAAACTTGTCAAATTGACCAAATTTTAAAAGAAAATGTCTCATCATATAGCATTAATCAATTCCAGCTCTTGTCATGCCACTTTCATTCTCTAGTTGGCTCCCCCGCCTAACTTCAGTCTAGTGTTTGTCTCCGATCTCAATGACTGCAAAGTAACAGCCTCCACTGCTTACCTCTGAAGCTCATGGACATAAAGGGACTTAAAAGAGTTGGATTAGCCCGCATTCTCTTACCGCACACTTGTAGCTGTCGACTCTGAACTCCACAACGAACTCACTGGAAGTCACCACTAGTTCAAATTTGAATGTATACAGATTCTCCATTAAAAGTGGACCTTGAAGATGGCTGCTTGGTGTGTACAGAACAATGTAGCCATTTGGTTCTCGAGAAGTTACTATATTCATCCCCCAATGTGGCCATTTGTTTTGACCCTCAACTAGCAAGAGGCAAGCTTTAAATCTCAAAGATTTAAGAAGATACCTCTCGTTCAACTTCACTGTTAGAGAATCACCAGTAGCTCGGTAAGTGAAGTATGCAGGCACTTTTCCACCTGGTAATATCGCATTTCTACAAGTAGATGTCTGGATGATGAGATCTCTTGCTTCTTGATTCAGTTTGAAGCAGTTAGCGAAGTTGAGAACAATCTTTGGATTTTGAAAGGAGCAGTCTAGTCTCTCCACTGGAGACTCACAATCTCCTGCCTCTAGGATTAGAGAATCTGGAACCACCGGGTGTGAGACAAGTTTTCTGCATTGGTTTTCCAATCTAAGATTGAGCTCTACCAAACTGGAGCAATTACTGACATCTAAGTATGAGAGATTAGTGACATTCCAGATGGTGGAAGGGAGCTCCACCAGACTTGAACAATTCATAAGAGACAAACTTTGGAGATTAATGGCATTCTCAACCAAGGAAGGGAGCTCCTTTAGACTTGAGCATCCGTTAAGATACAATGATTGGAGATTAGTGATATTCCAAATAGATGAGGGCAGCTCCAGTAGATCCGAGCATCCATTAAGATACAATGTCTGGAGATTAGTGGCGTTCTCAATAGAGAAGGGGAGTTCCACCAGACTTGAGCATTCACTGAGAAACAATGATTGGAGATTAACATTCCCAATAAAGGGAAGCTTCACCAGACTTGAGCATCCACTGAGATTCAAATCTTCGAGGCGAGTTAAATTTAAAATTGAAGAGGGGAATTCAATCAAACTCGAACAATTCATTAGTTGCAATTCCCTGAGATTAGTGATATTTCCAATAGAGGAAGGGAGTTCCACCAGACTTGAACATCCATCAGCATATAATTTCTTGAGGTTAGTGGTATTCCCGATGGAAGAGGGAATCTCCAACAGACTCGAACAACCACTGAGATTTAACTCCTTGAGGCTAGTGACATTCCCAATAGAGGAGGGGAGTTGCACCAAACTCGAACATCTATTGAGATACAACTTTTTAAGATTCGTGAGATTCCCAATAGAGGAGGGGAGTTTCACCAGACTAGAGCAACCAATAAGATCCAATTCCAGTAAATTAGTGACATTCCCGATGGAAGAGGGGAGCTCCACCAAGCTTAAACAATCTATGAGTCTCAATTCTTGGAGATTAGTGGCAGTAGAGAAATCAGGAAGCTCCTTCAGATTTACACAAAAACTCAAATCCATCCATTTGAGATTTCTAATGGGCTGTACAGAAAAAAATAAAGGCAGCATGAATACATTTTGAACATAGAGTAAAGATCATATGGCCGCAAACACACACAGATACACTTTTCAACTAATTGGATAATAATAACAATGACTTACTTCATTTCCTTCCCACAACTTCTCAAGCATGCTGTCTCGCATGTTTATTTTGACAAGGAACTCCGGGTTAAACTTGGAAGGCAAACATGTCAGTGGATAACGTTCCCAATGTAGTAATCTAAGTTTTCGAGATATATGCCTCAAACCTTGCGGTAAGTACAATATGTCGTTACAACGATCACCATATGGGTGGTGGAATCTTAAGAACTGGAGATTGCACATTCTTTCAAAGGCTCTTTCACTTATATTTATTACGCCCTCGATTACACCAGATAACTCGAGATCTATGCCTATAAGAGTTCTGGTACCCTGAAACGAATCCAAAGAAATAAGGGTAGAGATGGTTAACTGTCAAATAAATACAATTTGTACAGACTAAGAAAAATAAGGACAAATCTTAAAACTTACCGTATCATCAGTGAGTACTTCACAAATATCTTCAGCATCAACCAAAAACTGACGTTTACCAGGCTTATGAATGGATTGTTTACGAACAATGTCTAGACCTAGTTGTACTAGCAAATTATGCATCTCTATATTTCCGAAGTTCAAAGATAAGAGAGATTTATCGGCTAAGATTTGGAGCCCTTGCCTCACATCCCCAAACTTCTTCGCAAGAAACACTTCCAATGTCTCAATCCTTTCCCTTCTAAAGAAACAGGCTATGTGAAGAAATAAATCTTTATCTTCTTCAGCTAGGGAATTGTAACTGAACATCAAAACGCTCTCAATGTCATCGTCAAGGCTGGTCCTTAACCTTGGTATTGATTTCGCCCACTCATGCTTCGACATTCGCCGTAAATAGGATCCCATAACCCTTAGTCCTAATGGGAGTTTACCAGCAAGTGTTGTAACCGTCCGAGCAATCTGCTCAAAACCAACTTTAGGGGACTTCTGACCAAAAGCATACATGCAGAATATTTCTAGAGCCTCATCAGAAGTTGGAAAATCAACCTTGTAAATATACTTGATCCCATGAGCTTTTAAAAGTTTTAGATCTTGTGTTACGACGATAATGCGACTTCCAAGGCCAAACCATTGTACATCTTTCGCCATGGCATCAAGTTGTACTAGCGCATCGACGTCATCAAGAACTAGAAGAACTTTCTTGTCCTTCAACCTCTCTTGGGCAACCCCTAAATGAGGAACCACCATATCTTTCTGGTTAATCATTTGAGACAACAATTCTTTCTGTAATTGCAATTTTGCGCTGTACTCATCGTGGCAAGGTCTTGGATAACGTACTTTAATGTTGTCAATGATTGCGCCCAGTTGGAATTGATGAAAGAGTTTGTTATATAGAACCCTGGAGATGGTAGTCTTGCCAATTCCAGCAGGACCCCAAATCCCTATCATTCTCACTTCTTCCAGATCAAGTTGTAACAACGAAGTTATCTCCGTCGTATGAGCTTCAATGCCAACAAACTCATCAAAATCCTTTGATGGTGTAAAACTCAACACATCGAAGACATCTTTTGAGATTTTAATGATCATATCTGCTTCATTTTCCCTGAAAGTAACAAGAAAAGTATTTATCAAACTTACAAATATTTATTTGGAGTTCATATACTCGTACATATATACAAGAAAAGTATGACACGAATTATGCATTAGAGAGGAAAGACTACCAGTTGCGAGAATCCTCCCCGAGTATATTTGCAGCACTGGTCAAAGCTTGCTTCCATTTCTGCTTCACCTCCTCTGGTCTTCCAACACAAGTTTTTCTAAAAACCTTCCCAAAATCTCCCTTCTGCTTCCTCACATCAGATGGATCCACATCATAAAAAACGGTCATCACTGTTTGACCCAACTCTTCTCTGCATTTCATAATCTCCACCAATTCATCAAGACACCACTTCGAAGAACCATAGTTCCTCGAGAGCAAGATGATCGCGATCTTAGATCCTCTAATTGCCTGTAAGAGCTCAGGACCAATGGATCCTCCTCTCTTCATCTCATTATCGATGAATGGTGTGATACCCTTTCTTTGAAACTCCTTCTGAATGTGACTGAGAAAGCCTTTGCGGACATCTTCCCCACGGAAACTCAAGAAGACAGGGTGCAACCAATTTTGAGACAAAGAAGAAGGGGGAGATGAAGGAGATAGAGAATAAGGAATATTTTTATTTCTTTTACGAAATCTGAATATTCTATAAACCAAGAAACATGAAGAATCCATTAGTATGATAGAAAGACGATCAAGATCACAACGCTTTTTTCAGAGCTATGAGGAGGAAGAATTAACAAAGAAGCTTTGCACATGTTGACACTTGACTTTATTAAAAGAGAATGTTGACATTAGCAAAAGAGGAAGGTTCATGGATGTTTCCTACCACCAAATATAATTATTTAATGATATTTTCATGGAAATTTTGTGGTATACTACATCACTGACCCTGTAACATAGTCTTTGATATAATCTTAAGACTTATTCAAACATATAAGATAACAACTGTTCTATAATGAGTACAATAAATATATACCTCTATATTCCTTGATTGTTGTTTGGAATGAACTGATTATAGAAAAAGAACTTGTAGAAGTTACGGCATTGCTCTATGAACTGATTAGGTAATGTGTGAAACGAACTACTTCTGCAAAGTCTCTCCATAGGTTCACACACCACCCTCCACTGCACTGGTCTGCAAGGTAACACTTCTTACTTCAGTTTCTTCTGCGATCATCACCGTGCATCTGCAATGCCAAAAGCGGAAAACAGATTCTTACTGTTGACCAGTGACATACTAAAGCTAACTGCTTAATTTGGAGAAACTAACCGAGTTTTGATAATTAGTCCATGGTCCACAACCCCATCAATCTTATCCAGGCTTGTAGCCACGTCAGCTGCAGAATTTCGCACCCATCAACCACAGAGACCATTGCACAAGTTTCAATGGTTACAGTTAAAGCTTTTACCGAGGCTTGGAATTGGAGTTGTAAATATAACATCAAGAATGTTGTGACCATCACTGGTAACTATAGGAAAGTTTCCTCCAAGAGGGCCTTCATTTTCTACAGAAGCTCTTCTCCAAACCTTTTCCACCGAGCAAAACACAATGAATCAAATGAGGGTTGACACAATCAATATAACCAAAACCCCGAGAAAGTATTTATGAAAGAACCAGATTCACACCTCTGCATCGCCTAAATACAAGTCATCTATCTCCTCAGCTATGGCCAACCAATTAAGCTGCAATCAAAGTTTCAAGCAATCAAAATTTTGAATCATATCACCAAGGGATTAAAAAGAAGTTCATCAGTAGAAATTTGCTTACAGATTGAACTAAAACAGGGATAGAACCTTCAAGACCGGCTTTGTATTGTTCTTCCTTTATAATGAAGACTGCCTCATCAGCTGCTTTTACAATAGACTGCATTGTGAATCTCTCTTTGTCAGCCCAAAGCTAAGCAATGAGTTATCCAAAAGGTGCAAAATTTACACGAAACTGCACACACCTTTTGTTTCAGAATATAATCATCTTCCTGTGAACTTCTTCGCCGCCCAATAACTGCAATAAGCGTATTCTCTTCTACAGCATCAGCATCATGAAATGCAAAATCAATCTACAAAGGAACCACATTGCAAACATTACCCCCCGACGAAGAATAGATCAAACCGGTTTAGAATATGCAGAGAAGCAGCTACCTGAAAACCATCCCGGAAATATTCCAAAGGGATTCCAGACTTTGCTGCTTCACTCGCGCTTCGAGCAGACCTGAACAAAAGTGAGAACAAATCATCATGAAGCCTACAAAAACTCAACTCGTAGGAAAATCATGATCCAAAAACTAATGAATAGAGAGAGAGAGAGGTCAACAACTTAACAAACAAAAAGATTGATACTTTATTGAACTCAAAGAAGATAAACAGCAGAATCGAAATCAAAAGACTCACATGGGTACACACACAACAGAATCAGGATCCAAAAACTAACTAATAGAGATATAACCAATAGAACAAACAAAAAGATTGATTCTTTATTGGATTCAAAGTAAATAAACATCAGAGGCGGAATCAAAAGACTCACATTGGTACACCAACAACATTTTGTAAAGAACCAGAACGAAGTTGATGACCCAAATAACGTATAGCCATATCTGAAGCTTCTCCAGATCCTAAACCAATAATCATCCCACTCTTTACATATTTATCCACCTGAAAATTTTCCCAGCCAAAGTTTTGTAATCAAGTTTCAATCTTTCTTCAATTTTTATGAATTTCAACACAATTCAAACAAACCCATTTGAAATTGGGTTTCAAAGAATAAGCTTTTTAACACTTACGGTGTGGTGAGCTGCTCGGAGAAGAGGAGAAACCTCCGGAGAAAGACTGGCGGTTACTGAAAAACGCTTGGAATTACGACGGCGCGTGAAAACCAAAGACGACGAGAGTGAAAATGGAGTCGATGCTGTCGCAATTACCATTTTTTTTTGTGGGAAGAACGATTTGAGTCACTGAGTCGTGATTTGAGTCACTGAGTCGTGATTTGAGTCACTGAGTCGTGACTCGGTGGTTTTTGTGGTGCGTGTGGGAGTATGAACTATACGAACTACTGAACTACGACTACATATACACGTGTAAGCTTATTCAGAATACAAGTACAATTAAATCATAACAATAATAATGTTAATAATAATAAGGTAGCCTCGTGGGATTAGTCCTTGGGCCTAGGAAGCCTTTGGGAGACCCGCGGTTATTCAAAAAAAAAAAAAAAAAAAAAAAAAAAAAAAAAAAAAAAAAAAAAATAATAATAAGGTACCTTGTAAAAGATGCATCCGGTTAATGAAAAGATCTACCCGACTTTGGAAAATCTCTCTTTCGTTTTCCCACTTGGCCTATGTCTCTTTGAATCATATGATTTGTTTGGAATATCATTCACCATGAACCATGGCCTATGTCTCTTTGTCATCATATGATTTGTTTGGAAGATTATTCACCATGAACCATGAAGAGTTTCCACTCTTTAATAGTCTCTTGATCAAAATTAATATTTTTATTAACGAGTTTTTTTGCCATATTTGGTCATCATTGTTACCCTTTTATTGATCTTTAATTTTCTCATTTTTTTATTAGTTTAGTAATATCCATAGTTTTTTTATAGGTAGTTCTAAAAATACAAAGCTAGCCGATTTCATTAGTGTGTCTGCAAAAAAGTATACAAACGATAAAATATAGATATGACATATCGAAAAATATTAAATAAATATATGATAAAACATTTTTAAGCAAGGTCTTACAAAGAGAATAAAAATAAACTTGATTACCTTCAATGTACAAAAGAACATCTGCTAGATGAGAAACCGTGATTATTCTGATAATTTATTTATTAGTTTAAATGCTCAACAATATTCTTAGTCATTTTATTATTTAAATTTGTCTCATGAGTATGTCTGCAAAAAATAAAAAATACACAAATGATACCTTAGATATAAATATAAACAATTTCTGACTTAAAAGACAACAAACAAAAAAAATTGATTACTTTCAATCTGCAAAGAAACCTTGAGATAAGAGTCCATCAATTTTCTGATGACATACTATTCAAGGCAAGGTCTCTTTTAGTTCTTTAGAAGACAAAACAATTCTAGCCAATCTGACCACATATTCTTAAGTTACACCTTTTTTTGCTTTTTCCAAATATGCATAGGAAGTAATAAACAATGGAAATCAAATCTATGTAGTGTGGTCATCATCCTTTATGTTGTATTCAAGACAACTAAGAACAATTTCAAGCTTAAAGTTCAAAGTTCGAGCAACGTTTCTTTTGCCTCATTTTGTTACATTTAATGATTTAGTACGAGGGTTGAGTAATGTTCTTCTAATGATTTAATACGAGATACTAACTTTGGTTATACATTGTTTGGGATAAACCTAAATTTTAAATATTTTGTACGTCACAAACTAAATCAGTTTTCTTCTAAAATCATATGAACTACAATTTAAAGGTTGGTTTATCAAATTGTTCTAATTAAATTATTTTTGTCATAGAAAATATTTTAAAACCACAAACTTCGAATAAAATAAATATTATAATGATCTTTATATGATTATCTATTGAATCACAAAAACTAAATGTAGTGATGAGTATATTAAAAATGTTACAAAAAATATTTTATATAAGAAAAAAGTAAGAAAAATTATTACAATAATTTATTTCATTTTAAAGATATATCGAAAGTAGAGAATAGAGATGAATCTCTTCAACTTGTTTTTCTCGTCGTACGATGGATGCAATTGATATTTTTGAAGATAAATATGAAAAAATTATTATAGCCATCAAAAATTCTATTATACATATATAATTTTGAATTAAAATAATGAAAACTAAAGAAGGAATAAGTATATTCTAGTAAACCGTTAGAATTAAAATAAAATTTTAAAAAAATCTAAGACATATACCATATAGTCTCTAAAAATAATTTTTTTTTTTAAAATAAAACATATACCATATAGTTTAATGATGTCTCAATTGATTTTTTAACACATGGAACAACATAAGAAACAAAGAAAATATTTAGGATTTTAGATTTTAGATATGGTGGATAAGAATGAAAGAATGATTATTTATAGAATGAAAAGTTATGAAAATTGTCTAATAACATCTCGAATGAATATAGGTTGTCTAAGCCTTAATTCTAAAATTATTTTGATATATATATTTATTTATTGAAAGAAATATAGAATTTAAGAGTCCTTTATTAATCACTTTGGATTTTTTTTATTATTATTAACCATCCAAAGACGAAAACACCAAATAATTGAAAGAAAACAAAAAGGAGAGTCATTTCAGTTTGATCGCACTTATGAGTGTTCCTTTCTCCTCTACTTTAAACACATGTGGGAACCAAATTCTTGGTAACCACTCAATATGGCTCAAAAAATTTCAAGTATCCAATAAAAAAAAAGTTTCATATATATTTTCTCGTGAGATTATTCAGTTCTTCCTAATATCTATCTATCTATATGTTACATATATATATTATATAAATACGCACTCTTCTTTCACCGACCTCCTTACACCAAAAAGGTGTCAATTCCACTTGTTCACCATGAGATGCTTTAATGGCTTCTTCTTCTTTTGCAGCTTTCTTTATTTTCCTTAAATTATCTTTGTTTTAGGTGGGGTTTTAAGTGCTTTCATGACTCATTCATTCTCTATTTCTCTGTATAAAACCTAGTGGAAAGTGTTAAATCAAAAACCCTTTTTTCCCACTTTCTTAATTTAGAAGGGAGACAAAACAAATGGGTAGAGTTATGTTGGTGAAGTATGGCTTTTTATTACTAGTGATCTCTTTTTGGTTTTTGTCTAATAACATTTTGGGACAACAACAAGATGGTGATGATAATGAGGATGATGATTCTGCTGTGTACATTGTCACACTTAAAGAACCTCCTATTGTTCATCTATTTGAAGAACAAGAGCTTAAACAAATTAGACATCAACACAAAAAGTCTAAATTTACACCAAAATTGAAACCAAGGTACTGATAAATTTTTATTCGTTTTGTTGTTACTAGATTCTCTGTTTAGCTTTAGTTTAAACCCTTTTTTTTGTATAGGAACAATTCGAGGAAACGTCATGGGAAGTCAAAGATACCATCTATTGCTCAATCTCATGACTCTTTCTTGAGAAAGACATTGAAAGGAGAGAAGTATATAAAGCTTTATAGTTACCATTATCTAATCAATGGATTTGCTCTGTTTGTTAGCTCACAACAGGTAAAAATCTTGAGTTCTTGGTCATTGTAGAAATAATCGTAAGTTCTTGATCTTGAGTTTTTGTGTTTTGATTTGTTTTATTAAGGCTGAGAAGCTTTCAATGAGAAGAGAAGTAGCAAACATAGTGTTGGATTACTCTGTTAGGACAGCAACAACTTATACTCCACAGTTTATGGGTCTACCACAAGGAGCATGGGTCAAAGAAGGAGGATTTGAGATTGCTGGAGAAGGAATTGTTATCGGGTTTATCGATACTGGGATCGATCCGAATCATCCTAGTTTCAATGACAATGACTCTAAGCGTTCATATCCAATCCCTAAGCATTTCTCAGGTGTTTGTGAAGTTACACCGGATTTTCCTTCAGGATCTTGCAATAAGAAGCTAATTGGAGCACGACATTTCGCGCAATCCGCTGTAACCAGAGGAATCTTTAACTCATCTGAAGATTATGCTTCTCCTTTCGATGGAGATGGCCATGGAACGTAAGTGTAACTATGAAATGTACCATATAAAAACAGAGTTTGAAGCTTATAGATGGTTACTTTGGATATATATGTAGACACACAGCTTCGGTTGCAGCGGGTAACCACGGAGTTCCAGTGATAGTTTCTAACCATAACTTTGGATACGCTAGTGGAATCGCTCCTCGTGCATTGTAAGTAAAACAACAAGACTTAGATCAATGGTAAAAATTTTACAAACTAGCTTTAACTTTTATGTTTTTGAACTTTGTTTTTAGTATTTCTGTTTACAAGGCATTGTATAAGAGTTTTGGAGGTTTTGCTGCAGATGTTGTTGCAGCTATAGATCAGGTATAGAAATCAAGAATAAAGATTTTAGCTTTCTTTTTCAATTTTGAAGACTTTAATATAATGGTTGTGCATTTTTCAGGCAGCGCAAGATGGAGTAGATATATTAAGTCTATCAATTACACCAAATAGAAAACCACCTGGTGTTGCCACTTTCTTTAATCCTATCGACATGGCATTACTTTCTGCTGTTAAAGCCGGAATCTTCGTTGTTCAAGCTGCGGGAAATACCGGTCCAGCGCCTAAAAGCATGTCTTCTTTTAGTCCTTGGATTTTCACAGTTGGTGCTTCTTCTCATGATAGAGTTTACTCCAATTCCTTAATCCTAGGAAACAATGTAACTATTCCAGGCATAGGATTCGCAAGTAAGTCCTTACCATCTCAAACTACAACTTTCGATTTCAAGTCGAAGATTACGGATTTATAACTTGTGTCGTTTGTTTCTTTATAGTTTCTACGGATGATGAAAAGATGTACAAGATGATCTCTGCTTTTCATGCCTTGAACAAAAGTACTTCTGTAGATAAAGATATATATGTAGGTGAATGTCAAGATTATGAAAACTACGATCAAGATCTTGTCTCAGGAAATCTTCTTATATGTAGCTACTCTGCTCGTTTTGTTCTCGGGATTTCGACTATAAAACAAGCTTTAGATGTTGCCAAGAAACTATCCGCGATTGGCGTGGTATTCTATATAGACCCGTATGTTCTTGGTTTTGAGATCAATCCAACACCGATGGATATGCCCGGAATCATAATTCCATCTGTAGAAGATTCTAAGGTGAGAAAATCAAAGCATTTGTTTAAAGGTTTATACATAGTTTCTAATGATCTAAAGATATGTTTTTCTTGCAGACTTTACTCAAGTACTATAACTCTTCTCTTCAAAGAGATGGAACCACCAAAGAAATTGTTAGTTTTGGAGCGGTTGCATCCATTGGAGGCGGTTTAAATGCTAACTTCAGTAACAGAGCACCTAAGGTAATGTATTACTCAGCAAGAGGACCTGATCCTGAAGACAACTCTTTTAACGACGCAGACATATTAAAACCGAACCTCGTAGCTCCTGGAAATTCTATTTGGGGTGCTTGGAGTTCTGTTTCAACCGATTATACCGAGTTTGAAGGTAAAAACAGAGGATTTTTCTATGAAATCAGTATCATTTTGATTAACAGTTTGTTCTGTTTTCCTCTGTTTAGGTGAGAAATTTGCGATGATGTCCGGTACAAGTATGGCTGCTCCTCATGTAGCTGGTGTGGCTGCATTAATCAAACAAACTTTCCCACAGTTTACTCCTTCACAAATTGCATCCGCGCTTTCAACAACTGCTCTTCTTAATGATAATAAAGGCGGTCCAATAATGGCTCAGCGATCTTATTCCAATCCCGATCAAAGCCTCTATACCGCAACACCGTTTGATATGGGAAGCGGTTTCGTTAATGCAACCGCAGCTTTAGACCCTGGTCTAGTTTTCGATACAAGTAAGTGTGTATAAATATTGGTTCACACAATTATAAGAGTTTGATTTTTCAACTCAAAATGTTTTTTTTTCTTATGTAGGTTTTGGAGATTATATGTCATTTCTTTGTGGGATCAACGGCTCAGATCCGGTGGTATTCAACTACACCGGATTTCGCTGTTCCGCTAACAACATAACAATCAGTGGTTTTGACCTCAATTTGCCATCAATTACAGTATCAACACTTAGTGGCACGCAAATTTTCCAAAGATCGATGAGAAACATAGCCGGAAATGAGACATACAATGTTGGTTGGAGTCCTCCTTATGGTGTGACAATGAAAGTATCACCTACTCAATTTTCTATAGCTATGGGAGAAACTCAAGTACTTAGCGTAACCCTCACGGCAACAAAGAACAGTTCCAGTTCTAGCTTTGGTAGACTCGGATTGTTTGGAAATACAGGACACATTGTTAATATTCCTATAACTGTCATAGCGAAAATCGCTTCGAGCTGATGATAGATAAATATCTTTTTCTTTTACCATTCAATTGTTAAAGGTACATTTTTTATTTGATGCAATGTAAAACCATATAAATGTTTTCAAACACAAGAAAAAAACTCCAATCTTTCAAGCGTTTCCTCCATCTTTGTTGTCTTTGCTTGGGGAAGAAGGTAACTTTACGGATTCCTCTTGAGCTCCAGATGGGTTTGTTGGAATATTAGGGTTAACCATTGTGAAAGGTGGGTACTTTGGGAAAGGCCATCCCCTTAATGGAAACTTGTGACTGAAGAATCCAGCAATCATGGAGTTTGCACTTTTAGAGTCGATCTTGTTCATTGAAGACGAATCATCCATTAGGTTTTGAGCTGATTTTGGTTCTGATTGAAGTTTTGGGCCACGGAGTGAGAGTGCGGGTCGGGAAGTGAAGAGGAAGAAGACGAGAAGAAGTAAACAGAGAGAAGAAGCCTTTGAGATTTTCGACATTGTTGTTTTGGTGTTTTTTGAGCTCTTGTGTGTGTTTTATGGGGTTTGTGGATAATCTTATATATAAGTGGTGTATTTTGAGTTTGGAGAAGAGATGTGTTTTTAACGTTGGGATTCTACTTCTTACCTAAACCAGTAAAGGTTCATGATTTGAGCATGACCATGAGAGATGATTTATGGGTTTGATGTTCATGTTTTGGTTGACAAGAACCAAGCTTCTGGCTTTGTTAGCAAAAAAAGTATCAAAATCTTTATAAACAAATCGAAAAAAAAGCCAAAATATATCGACAAAGAAAAAAGAATGATTATCCATTGACAAGGACTAAATTAAAAAAGAAAGATAGTCCGATTATTATTTTCCAAAAAACAATATAAAAATGGTAAACATGATCGATCGTCAAGGCCGGTCCAAAGTTTCCAAATTTTTTTTGATGCCCTTCCTACGCATAACTAAAAATTTGGGCCTTTTTGGTAATGTAAAAAATAAAATTCTCCAAAAAAGTGAATAATAATGTGAGACCCTTAAGCGATGGCTTCACTTGCTTGCCCTCCGGACCGGTTCTGTCGATCGTTGTAAATTGTTTTGTAATTTTTATTTTTACAAACAATGCATTATGCATGCTAAGGGGGTGTTGATACAACGACAACTAGACATGTCAATTAGGGCCAAAGCCCGCGGGCTGGCCCGGCCCAGCCCTGAAAAACAGCGGGCTCGGGCTTAAAAATATATGTCCAGAAAAAAATCGGGCCTTTCGGGCTAAGCCCGTTGGGCTAAAGGGTTTTTAGGGCTTAGCCCGGCCGGGCTCGGGCCGGCCCGAGAAGCCCTTAAAAAGAGATTTTAACCTTTTTTTTTTTGTTAATATTATTGTTTAATTAAGAGATTTGTTTTAAAAAAATTTTTAATAGAGTTAAAAACTCTAAACCTAGTTTTCTAATTGTGTTTTACTATAAGTGTTCTGATTTTATATTTTATTTAGTGTGGGTTCAAACAATTTATTTGGATTATTTATTTGATTTTAAACTTTTTTAAAACTAAATTGGCTTTAGTTGGTTATTTAATTTTCGTTTGACTTGTTTTATACATAGATTCGTTTTTTTCTCAAGAGATATTATAAATTAGAAGGGTTTATTTTTCTCGAAAGAAAAGCCCAAAAAAGCCCGTAAAAGCCCTGTAGCCCGGTTAGGGCCGGGCCGGGCTTCAAAATCTAGGCTCGGAATTTTTACGGGCCGGGCCGGGCCGGGCCGGGCTCAAACATATGCGGGTTTTGAGGGCTTCGGGCCGGGCCGGGCCGGGCTAGCCCGATTGACATGCCTAACGACAACACTATCACAAACTATTATGCTATATGTCATAGTTCGTTGTGAAACAATTTTGGTTTTCTGATTTTGGCAAAATGTGTCTTGAGTAGGCTAGGACGTGGTAATTCAAATTTTGAGATTCTTATTATCTGACTCAAATGTTTACTAGTTATGAACATAAAAATTACCACCAAAATCCTAAAATCTCAATAATACCGCAACATTTAGGTTTTTCAAATGTTCTTAGAAATTTTAAAAGGGATCCTAAATGATTTGGCTTAGGGTTTAGGTAGTTACATATATACAATAAAGCCGGTATTTATATATATATATATATATATATATATATAATATTTCATGTATAGAGAAAGTAACATATTCAAATAGTTCTAAAGTAGATAGTTATGATATCCATTATCCATATTCCAATATCTAATTTTTTTTATTTGTGGATAATAGAATTCTGATATCCATAAAAAAAAAAAAAGAAGAATTATGATATCTAGTAACCCAACCGTAGTCGATATAATGGATTTAAGAATAAACAAGGAAGAAGAAAGTTTTACTAAGAAGAGACAAAGCAAATGCTTAGAGATGCTTACACAATCTGATAAAATCACTCAAGAGACACACCAAAACACTCAAGAAGAAACAAAGAAGAAGTAAGAAAAGAAAAAACAGGGGAACGAGAAACGTGTGCAACACACGTGTATGTTTTCAGGGGACGACGGAGGGAGATGCGGTGGTGGAGCAGCTTTTATTAGGCTGGACGAGACGAGAGATTGACGCGGCGGAGATGATGAGCATAAGGATTACTCCGGCGAAGGCGGCGATTAATGCTCCGGCGCCGTGATCACAGTAAGTGGCAAATCTGTCACAGATTTTGTCCCATCTCGCGTGTTTGTTCCCGTTCTTTCCTACCTCCGCCATGAACGCCGCCGCGTTTGCTCCCGCCGAAATTAGAGTCACATTCAGCTGTTTTTCCGACAAGAAGAAGCCAAAGTCAGCATAAATATGAGTCTACTGATTAACTTACTCATTGAATTAACAATTAGTGTCAACTACAACTAATATAAACCATACAAAATAAATAAACCATGGAATCTAAACATTGAACTTTAATTTAGCAATTAATCGATTAAAACAATAAACCAAAAAATCAGAAACTCCATAATTTTTTCTAAACTCATTATCGAAATATATATATATATATATTGTATAAAATGTTCATGAAATTAAAATAACACTAATATTAAAATTTCATGAAATTAAAATAAAATATTGTCTCTAAATTCTCCTAAAATTTGTGAATAAACCTAAACTAAAAAAATGAGAAAAATAAATTAACATATAATTATCAGTTTCCAACTAGTTGGTCCTATAGTCGTCAACAACTAAAGACTTTCTTTGACAAAAAAACAACTTAAGACTTTAAGATGCAAATTAGTAATATATACGTAATAATTTTCCCTAATACATATATGTATGTATTTATATGTTTACCATGTCAAGAATGGCGACAGAGAGAAGACGAAAACCAGTGAACTCCATTTTCCCTCCAAATATCTGAAGAGCAATCATCAACAAGTTGTGGAAGCTCACCATTGCATTAGCCACTACGAAAAACCTTTTTTCACACACCAAAATGATCAAAAAGATTAGTCACAAAATCAACATTTGGATTGTTGATTAAAGTGTTATTAAGGCTTACACAAAAGCTGGTGTGTGGTCGAACTTAGCAGTGAAAGTAGCTTTAATTGGAGTATTTCCAACTTTTCCCACAACAAAAGTCTCTGTCTCTTTGTTCAATCCCATTACGATAGCTGCAGATAACGTGGCCAAGAAGGCAAGTAGTCTCAGCCCTAAGAGTATTTTGCAGCTCTTACCGCTCGTAGCAGCCAATGCGAGCTTTGCCATTGTTTGAACTTTGAAGAGAAATATATGAACAAATTGTGTTTGTGTTGTGTGTGTTGTGTAGAGTGTTGTGTTTTTGTGTGTATATATATATTGAGTTTTTGAGTGTTAGTGTTTGGTCTTTTGTCTGACCATCTAACTTTTGGAGGGTTAATTTTAGGTTTTGGTGGTTGTGAAGATTCAGTGAAAAAGTTAGATTTGATTTTTTTTTTTTTTTATGGTATTGCGGCAAGTTAACTTACTCTTGGGACAGTCTCATCTACCCAAAACTTAAACCAGTTTGACTTTTTGTGGAAATAAAACTCAATTAGCTGATTGCGTTTGCGTTTAGTGTGCAAGTTTTAAATGAATCTAAAATTTCTATATTTTTTACAAAAAACTTGTAAATTTAAATGCCAAAAACTGAAAATCGCATTATATATTTTCTTAAGAACTTAATTTTTTATGAAAAATAATGTAAATTTTCTATGATTTTCGTCTTTCACATAAACGCAAACTTAAAGGTAGAATTGCAGTTGAAACCATGGGAATCTTATGTGATTTTAATGAACAAGTTGGAACTTTTTGTTTGCCAAATCAGATAAGTTCTTTTTGTTTATTTATATCCCAAAAAAGTGTGAATCTTCTGTAATTTTTTCATGTCAACGCAAACGCAAAGACGAAAACTGCAAGTGAAGCAATCAAAGCCTTAATAGAAGAAAAGTCTCTTAGAGATTAAAATGAAAACCGAAGTTCCAAACTGAGACCGGTTTAATTAACTGGTCAAGGCAACTGAATAACAAAGAGGATATGATAAAATATTATATCAACCTTTTACACGAATGTAAACGTGCAATGTATGTGAGCTACTCTAAACTCCATAAAGAGAGATCAAATCCATTTGTTCTTAAACTCATTAAACAATGACATGTTTTTGGGGGGGTTTTGGAAGGAACCCTGAAGATTTTTTTTTTTTTTGAACTACAGGAACCCTGAAGTTTAAAGACATATAAACAGGTTTGATTTTGTCCCCAAAAAAAAGTAAATATAAATAAATAAACAGGTTTGATAAAAAAAAAAAGACATATAAACAGATGCTTTCCAGGTGTTATATGTAAACATATGCACAATATAACGAACACAGAAACAAAGGAAGAAAATGCGTTTTTAATACATAAATTTCAAGAAAGTATTTGATTGAATCAATCAGTGTAATCTACATTTCCATAATCTATTTTTACTTCTTCTTTTTTTCACACAATGAGATTTTAGGTGATAAAGGATAAAATTTTAAATTTTCACTCCTTAAATTAAATCTTTAATTTTTTTTTTTTCGATTTTCAATGATCCCAACAATTATCTCATACATATATTCCATTCGTGTAGCATTTTATGAGCAACTTCCCTATACTAACCAGAGTTTTTGTCGGTTCATAACATACAAAATAATTATATAAAAAAAAATCTGAAAACAATTAAAATTAAGAAGGAATATTAGTAGGATCTGGACTCTCTGTAACGGCTAGTTCCAAAGTACCGTTTTTTTTTTTAATTATTGTATCAAGGGCACGCTCTGACACATTCACACTCATAGAGAGAGAAGAAGAAACAAAAAAAGCACAAAACTTTTGCCTCTACTCAATACTCATCTCTCTCTCAATTCTCTGATTAGGGTTTTTCATAAACACGAAGAAAAAGGGTCTTTTTTTCAATTCGATTTGAGAAGAGAGAAGAGAAATCGCCATGAACATCTTCAAGAAGAAGACCACTCCCAAAGGTAAAAAAAGCTTAAAACTTTATCACCATTGTTCCTCTGAGATTTTGTTTTTCTGGATTTTTGTCTCTTCAATTTCTGCTAAATCGTGAGGAATGGTTCTAATATCTGTTGGGGAACAAAAAAGATTGTACCTTTAAGTGTTCTTCGTGTTCAAAATTGAATCTTGTAGTGTGTGTTAGTGTGAATTTTTCTGGGTTCTTAGTTTCTATTAAAGTGTAGGTAGATTTCTTAATTAGATGTGTAATTAAAGTGTGCGAAAGCTCGAAACTGGAAAATAGTAAGTTGTCCAGATTTAGTTAACTTGTGAATTATGCAATTTTGCTTTTGATTCTATTGAAAAAGTTGTGATTTTTTTTCTTCTAATTCTGCAGATGCTCTTCGTACCAGTAAGAGAGAAATGGCTGTGGCTACACGAGGTATGTATAGGTTTTCAATCTCTTGCAAATTTTGACTATTGATTTTAGGAAGATTGTGTTTTGTTGAAGTAGTGATTGAATTTGTTGGTGTTTCGATATGTATCACTCAATTTCTACTTACTAAGGATTGGATTGATTACACTCAATTTCTGGTTAAAGAATGTTTTTTCTTTCCAATTTTGGTTGAGATTGAATGGATGCATCATAGATCTTTCTATTTGAAGGAACCTTTCTTACTACCATTTCATTGAGATGTTGTTTTTGTCTCTGGTTAGTCTAGTTTTGTGTTTATTCTTATGCTCTTGTTTGTTTCACTGCATCATTTTGTCCATTTAAAACCAGACCAGAATTATCAAAGAGAAATTTTTGATTTTGCGATTCTCGTTATTAAAAGTGTTGATATTAGTAAGAACTAGTGATTAGTATCTGCTCTTGATGCTTTGGGACTGTGTTGTTATGTTTATGAACTCGTTATTAACCTCTGTTCTGTATTCTAACTACACCAAAAGAACGTAAGAAGCATAGAGCTAAGCTTTGATTATGTTGTAAGTTGTGACTTTATTTTATATCCAATGTCATTGCAGGTATTGAACGTGAGATTACATCTCTTCAGCTAGAGGTATTATTAAAGTCAAACTGCGAGCTTCTCTTAATTATATTGTTTACTAACGTTATGTCACAATTAGGAGAAGAGACTAGTTGCAGAGATCAAGAAAACAGCTAAGACTGGAAATGAGGCAAGTTTTCATTTCAATCCCTTTCTTGCAAAAAAACATTTTTCGAATTCTGAGAACTTCACTAACTGATCTTTGGACTGTTGATTATATCATAGGCTGCCACAAAGATTTTAGCTCGTCAACTTGTTCGATTGAGGCAACAGATTACCAACTTACAGGGAAGCCGTGCTCAAATTAGGGGTGTGACGACTCATACACAGGTTTGCTTTCTCTAGTTCAACATCAGCTAAGCTAATAGTTTGATGAGAATAACTTGGTGTTAATACTAAATTACTGTTGTCTTCATTTCTCTATGGATAGGCTCTGTATGCCAGCACTTCAATATCATCTGGCATGAAAGGTGCTACCAAAGCTATGGTTGCAATGAACAAGGTAATGTTATTTTGTTTCGATACTCAGTTCCTGAATCTATAGAACCACATTAGTTTCTGAACAAGATAATGTTCAACTTCATTCCTACTTTCTATTTTCAGCAAATGGCACCCACTAAACAAGCTAAGGTGATTAAAGATTTCCAGAAGCAGTCGGCACAGCTAGACATGACGGTAAACGAATACATCTCTTTAATCTTAAGTTTTTACTTTATCCAATTAGCAACAGGTACAGATTAGTTGGCAGGATTTGGCTTTTTAACATTTAATTTGTTTATTGGTTGTTGGATTTGCAGATAGAGATGATGTCAGAGGCAATTGATGAAACACTTGACAAAGATGAGGCTGAAGAAGAAACAGAAGATCTCACTAACCAAGTTCTTGATGAGATTGGTGTTGGTGTTGCATCACAGGTCAGGTTTCTCTGCTCTTTAGCAAATTAATTTCTTCGGTTTCAGTTTCTCGGGTTAGTCAAAAACTAAAATATGTTTTCTCTTTCCTTTGTTTTAAACAGCTATCTTCAGCTCCAAAAGGTCGGATTGCTACAAAAACCGCAGCTCCTCCCGCTTCCACTGCAGCAACTAAAAACAACAAGTGAGCTAATGTCATATATATAAAGTTTGGTCAAATCAAAATCACAGTGAAGAAAGAAAGAAATCTAACCTTTAGTTTAACTTGCAGCTCTGAATCAAGTGAAGTGGATGAGCTTGAGAAGAGGTTGGCTTCGCTTCGACGAATCTGAGATGTATGAAGAAAAAACGAAAGAAAGAAAGAGAGCAGCTTCCTTTCTTTTTGTTATCTCTGTATAAATCTGCTGAAACTTAAGCTGTTTGATATTAAGATTGGTCATCAGAAAACTAAAAGACTTTTAAGAAAACAAGAAGACATGTATACACATATATTACTATAGAGTTCCTCTACGTAGCCATTTGATATTCAATTTAATAAGCATGTCTAAGAATATAGTTAGTCATTGGTTTGACAATATACAGTTTATTGTGGTATTCGGTATTAAGAGAGTCATTGGTCGGTCACATTCTCATTTTTTTTTTTTCTCTTCACCTTCTTTATTTATCCGATATGTAAGTTGATCACATTTTCATTATCATATATATTCATATATTTTCGGCATCACAACTATGAGGATCTCAAGTCAAAGTATTTGACCTTAAAAGATCCTCTGGTTATTTGGAGCAATCTAAAGTAAAGATATGATCACCATAATGTGACTATATATCTCAGCTGTGTTCACAAGTTGATAATATATGTATAAAAATATCATTGGTTCATAGATGCTAGTAAAATAAATACTCTAATTTTCACGCAAATAATGTTGTCATGCAAACACAATATCGTGAAAAATGACATAAAATGTATTCTAACCTTATATCTTGTCTTTTTATAAAAGAACAAAACAATGAACTATTAATGAAAAATCATGAATCACGTCCAAATGAAAAAAGAAACAAGTCTCCTTATCTCTCCCGTTTTTTTACACAAAATATCAAAACCATAATTTTTTTTTTTTTTTTTTGGTAAAATTTTTTAGTAAAAGGCGAAAGAATAGTTCGCTTTGTGCTCACCACATGGCTGCGTTCAATCAAAACCATAATTGTTGTTGTTTGTTATCATCTTTCCTTATCTCTCCCGTTCGTAACCACTTCGATAGCCACTTTTTGGCCAATGTTATTGGTGTGGTTCTTTTTTATCAGTATAAGATGTGACATTGACTTTAGAGAATGGAGCAGAATCATTTGGACGTGATTCATGATATTTCATCAATAATTTATTATTTTGCTGAGCTACAAAGAGACAAGATATAAGTTCTAAATACATCCTTTATCTTTTTTCATGGTATTGTGTCTACATGACAATATTATTCGCACGAAAAATAGAATATATCTTCTCTAACATATGTGCATCAATGTTACTAAAAACGAAATACCTAACTCATTAAACCAAATACTTAAATTCTACGATCAAGATATATGTAGTCAACATAACCTTAAGGTAATTAGCAGTGTGTTTCCAATCAAGATATAAAGGATCAATCAAATACTAATAAGAAAGTTATAAGTAATAAGTAATAAGTTTCGTCATATCAAACAAATAAAGCAAGCACTAAGTCAAAAACTGAAGAAGATCTGATGACCTTTTCTTATATAAACATGATTAAGAATAAACTTTGATTCCATGATCGATAGACAAAACTCTAGTCTCTTTTTTCTCTAGAATTTGGATTCATTATACGATTAGACTTTAGATAGCATCCCGAAGCTAAAACATAAGTTGATCTATAATCAGGCCATAAATATTAATATGCCATAGATATAATTATGCATGAGCCGATCTGATCTAAGCAACATAACTGATAAATAGAACTTATCTTGATGACGTGATTTGTGACATGGAGACAGGCATCAGAAAACGAAGACGTTGTGGCTTAGGGAAATTCAGTGGAGAGCTTTGTTTGCTCAATCGGCTAGGGTTTCCTGATAACGTATTTTGAATGAAGAGATAAAAGAAATTTTGGTCTCTTGTTCCATAAGACAAAATATATAGAAGGATATATACAAACAGAACTTGGAGAATAAGTTATAAGATATCTAGAATATTGTAATGAGACTTATAATGAACTAGATCATGACCCGCACATACGTGCGGGGTTTCATATTTTTTTAAAAAGTTCTAACAAATTTTAATTCAATATAGATTATTTCGTTGTTTCTATGATATATATTTTAGTGTATTAGATCTGGATTCACACGTACGTGCAGAGATATTTTTATAGAAATTGTTATATAGATTTTAAAAATAAAAAATATTTTGTTGTGTTAGTGAACTTTATAATAGTATAAATATTATAAAATTAGAGTAATGAACGAAATTCAGTTGCATTAGTGTATAGTTAGATTTTAAGATCCGGACCTACACGTACGTGCGAAATTATATTTAAGATAAAACTAAGATATAATTTAGTTGCAAAAGTTAAATGATGTTACTTTTTTATTTTCTAAACTAATCAAAACATTTCTAATAGTTTGATTACGTGTGTTAAATAGGATATAGATTCGGTTTGAGTTTGGTTATTTCATGTATATTAGCTAGGCGTAACTATTTTAGAACGGGAAACCTATCCCGTCCTGTATCTGTCATAAATTTTTTGGTCCCATAACCCGTCTCGTATACGTGAAATAAAAATATGATGGTCCAGTATCCGGCATAAATAGAATATGTGTAACTGAAAACGTACGTACATGGTTATGTATGTAAAGAAATTTATTTTATATAGTGCTCATAACCTGAACTCATACCAATTGAGTATTTAGTTTGATTTTTAATTTATGTTTCCCTCTCATCCCGTCTCGTAATTCCTATTCTCATTTCATTCCATTAAAATCATGTTCCAAATTCTTGTTTGCTTACTTTTAAATACCATACAATACATACTATGAGTTTTGTAGATTAATATATATGCTGCTAAAGTTACAAATATATTTTAGCAAATTTATTAATATTTCTTTCCTTAGCTAAATTTTGCATATTCTTCTTTTTATTGTTTAATCATAATTAATTTGATTTTTGGACTAAAAATAAAAATTTGAGATACATCTCTAAAAGAGATATGTTATTGCTGTATAATTTGTTTTGAATTCAAAATATATAATTAGTTTACATTATTTGAAAACTGTGTGCAATATATTAGGGATTTCTTTAAGGAAGATCCGGTTGAAAACCAAAAAATAAAACGCAAAATAATTTAGAAATTAATATATACAATCTACTGTTAGATATTTATCAAACTTGCTCTAAACGAAGGCTATAATGATAATTACTTTAAATTTATTATTATTTGAGTTTATTTCATCATAAATATAAATAGTTGTTAATATCTAATATCATATTTTAGAAATTGTGAAATAAAATTTTGTTTTATATTTTAAAATTTGTGAAAATATTATAACAAAACCGAATCTTAAAATATTTGTATTTAATTTTCTTACAAAATTTTAAATTTAATCTTAAAGTCCTCTATTGATAAATCTTTTAAACGATAGTGTTTTTAATTTTGAATTAAAATGATATTATTTTTCTTTTATTTTTGATATATAATAGTCTATTACGATTGGTTTAGATAAAATCTTGGTTGGATATCAAATCTTAGTTTTTCAATTCTTATTGGTTAACAATTTTTTAAAAATTAATTTCAAATTTTCGTTTATAATTAATAAGAAAGAGAAAATTAGTTTATTTTTTTGGAAATTAATAATTATTTAAAAGAATTAAATTTTTTTATTTAAATATATTAATTTTGTGATTACTATTGTACCCTTAATGAAGTTATTTAAAACACTAAAAACCAATGGCATTTTTTGTAATATTTTACTCTTCATAAGGTTATTTAATATTTAGTGATTCCCAATTAATAATATAGATATCCTATATAATCATTTATCTTAAAATTGTTATATTGATTATATCCTTTTCATTTATGGTTAAAGAAATAAAAAACTAGCAACTCCTGGTTTTGATTTATAGCCGTGTTTTAGATATTCTTCGTGGACTAGTCATCAAATTTTGTTTTCTTTAGACTAAGTCAAATTCTACACTGACATCATAAGCAATAAATGTTTCACCCCGAAAAGCCGAAACTACTTGATAATGCAATAAATGTTGTGGTGAACTTGTCTTCGTTGGAGCTTAAACCTTTCACGCAGGCACATAAATATGAGTGTTGAATCAAAAGGTTTAGCAAATTAAGAAAAAGAGATGGCAAAGAATTTAGGAATTATGTTCTTGGTTCTAGTGGTTCTTTTGGTGCCATGCTCCATGAACTATGCTCTTGCTTCTGCACAACCACAAGAGTCACTCCCACAAATCGGTTAGAGCTGGTTCTAATAATATTTATCAAAAATTTTAAATTCGTATTTTTCAATAATTTATACATACGTTATTTAATTAAAAGTAGTTTAATCTTGAAATATCCAAAACATATATTCCAGAAAAAAGTTTTTTTAAGAAACCACGGTGCTGAATCTAATTTGTGGCTAAGTTTTGGTTTGATTGTTGTTAGTTTGGATATATATAAGATAATAAATCCAAATTGTTTTTTTTTCTTTCAGTTTAGTCTTTAATTAGAATTTGGTTTCGTTTAGCTAAACCAGATTAGACACCCTTTTATTGACTAGACTAGATCATAACCCGTGCTGGAACAGCACGGATGAAATTTTAATTTTTAAATATTTATATAAAGTTGGATTATTGTTTGTTTTATTGTACAATTTTAATAATTCTTTACATAATACAATGACATATAAGGATTTTTTATTTTATTTTATTTTGATGAGAAAATATTAGGGGTGGGGTACGGTTTTTCGGTTTAGTATCGTTTTTTTCGTTTTGTAGAAAGTGAAACCATATAGAAACCGTATGTAATTCGGATTAGTTACAGTTCGATTTTTACGGTTTTTTACGTTTTTTGGTTAAAAATAAAACGTATGTATTTGATATATGCTAGTAGTAAGTGAAAAAAATTGTGTATATAATAAACATATTTTGGTATATAATAAGATTAAATTCAACCCGTGCGTACCTATATTTTTATTTTAGAATCCCAATAAAAAAATTGTGTGCACAATCCATCATTCATTATTTTCATATATACTTATAGAATCAAAATTTTAAATATTTAGAGGTGTCAAACCTTATTTAACTCATCTCATCATATAATCTTAACATGGTTTCGGTTATAAAGATCATACCTCTTTTTATCATATAATACATTACATTTAACCTGCTCCTTGCTATAAATATTTTAAATATTTATGCTTTGAAAAATAAAATTAGAGTATTTATAACTTTTATCTTTTGATTTATTAAATATTTATGATATTCTTAAAAATATTATATTAAACTATTTAAAAAAATTTCCAAATTAAAATATTTTTTTATTTTTTATTGTAGAATATAAAATTAAGAATTTTTAAAAAATAATTGTAAGAACTTAAATATAAATATTCAAATAGTTATAAGGATCATAACTCATTCCATCATATAATACATTATATTTAACCCACCGTCTATTATAAATATTTTTTATATATATTTGTTTTAGGAAAACCAAATTAGTGTATGTCTAATTTTTAAATTTTTTATTTATTAAGTATTGTTGATATTTGTTTTTAAATATCAAGTCAAACTATTTTTAAATATTCCAAATTAAAATATTTAAAATTTTATCGTAGTATATAAAATTATATATTTTAAAAAAATATATGAAATTGAATATAATTACTCAAATTATGACCCGTTATGCAGGCGGAATTTTTGTTGAATTTATTTTTGTTTAAAAGAAATATATTATCCAAGTCTAAATTTTTGATTCGTTAATTTTTTTTTTTCATAAATTGAATAACTTATATTCGTTTTTAAAAATTCAAATCATGGCATATACGGAAAAAAATCTATTTTTTATTATTATATGGATGATATGATGATTTATTTGTTTCACAATAATATAATCATATAAAGATGAGAGGTGAAATATAATGATTAATAACAAATTAATAAGGTAAGTTAGATATCAAATCTTATATATTCATTTTGATTGGTCATTTAAAAATAATAATAATGTATTTTTCGTTTTTATAATTAAATTAAATTAATTAAATTGTATAAATTGACTTGTTTATCCTTAATGAGATGAATTAATTTACTCTTTGAAATTTTATCTCTAATGGCATTCTTAAGTAAATTTTTACAAAAGGGAAGGTTAGTTAAGGGTATCTTATAAAGTGTACTCCCCAAATAATAGTATAGGATATATAATAAGTGTTAGGTTGTTATGCTAATTTCAACATATATATTATAAAGATATGATTCTTAACTTTTTATGATTTAAAATCAGAATGGAGAAGAGTGATGATCACGGTACGATCATCAACAAGCCAACGAGCTAGGAAAAGAGATATACCACCGTCGCCTTCTCCATCATCACCACCTTCTTTGTTGTCACCCGCACCAGGGCCTTGAGCGACAACATTTCTTGAAAACGAATGGATTATGTTGTTTTTTTTTTTTGTCATAAGGAGATTTCATTAGAAATTAATCAAGAGTTTTCCAAAGAAGGAGGATACAAAAGGCTACTAGGAGCCAAACAAGCAAATTCTGTGACCCACAACATGGTCAAGCAAATGAGAAAACTAAAACTACAACCATAGTTCAAACAGAAACAGAGAGATAAATGGGAGTTCGCAAACTCAACCGAAGAAGCGTACACACATCGGCAACCGGGGAGGGAAGCACCGGAGGATAAGTCCGAGTTAAACGCATCAAAAACAGAACCTTCCTTTGCTACCAAGGAGGCCTTCAAGTCAATTCCTTCAACTAGAGTTGCGAGGAAGACATAACAGCGACGGACACCGTCGAAAAGGGGAACTTCAGAAGCGTCGGAGAAACACCAACCCATGCCACGGGGAGATGAGAGAGTGAGCCACCTAGCAACACCGGAGAAGATCTTCGTCCCTACATTACACTTAAATCCACCACAAGGGGGAAAAAGTAGAACCACAAACTGCTCCATAAAGGAGTAAACATGACACAGATGGTCAACGCACAACCAAGGCAAGTGAGACACGAGAGCCTTGTAGACTAACCAAGCTTTCATATAGGCAAATGTGACCAAACAAGGAACACACTTCCAACTAATGAGACTTGTGAATCCACTATCTAACCAACAGATCCTAGAAACTGTAGGAAAATAGAACGCAAAACCAGAAACAAACCTGGTAAGAGTGTATGCCGGATAGAGACCGGAAAAGAGCCTGCATATTGCAGTAAGGGGTGGAGTACCACCAGAAGACACCAAAGTAACTGTCAAAGAGAACGTGGGACGCAGATCTGAGATCTGAGAACGAGGCGGATTGGTGCAAAGGAAGGAAGAGGACTGAAGCAAAGGGCTTCGAAAGAAACCCCACGGAGAGTCAAAGGCCACGAAGAAAAAGAGATACCTTGGCCAACTATCTGGAGGGTCCGGAGGCTCCGGTGGGTTCGGTGGTGAAAGGGGATCCGGCAACCGCAACGGAGGAAGCTTCAGCACCAGAGAAGCACACAGAGACGTCAAAAGTGGAGGAGAAGAACGCAAGTTGACTATCAAAGGAGATCCAGTCATTTCACACCAAAGAAGGAGAAAAAGCTCACCGGAAAAACAACCCGGAAAGGAACCCGGAAAAAGTCCGGTAATTGCTGAGAAGAAACTCGAGAGGGAGGAATCAGGTGAAGGAGACGCCAGAGAAAAACCACCGGTGAGGAAACGCCATTAGAGAGCAAGCTTCAGCGGCGCCTCGAAACTCGGGCCTGGGAGAGAACTAGGGCGAACTCGTTAAGAAAAGTAATATAATTGTTAATTTCTATCACAATTAGCAATGGATTATGTTGTTATTTTTGGAATCATTGATAAGCAATGTATACAATTTACTTAAATATCAACTTTTTTGTTTAATACATATGATGAAGTTGTTTATTGGACAAAAGATAATAATTGGCAAAGTTGGTTAGGAAAATGTGTTTTTTTTTTTTTTTTGTCAAGTTTGTATAGACCTACAATCAATTTTAACTATTTAGATCAGGCCCGGCCCACCCATAAAGCAGGCAAAGCATCTGCTTTAGACTACAAAATATAATAGAGTTTTTAGGGCCACATTACAAAGAAACTTGCTTAGCCTAGTGTTTATGTAGATAATAAGTTAGTGTCAAGTCTTGAGTTCGAATCTCGTCTTCTACAGTTTTTGTTTAAATTTTTAACAATAGTTTTAAATAAAAAATTATATTATTGAAATATGCTTGAGGCCCCAAATATCCAAGGACCGGGCCTGATTTAGATTGATCCTTCCATCTTATAAAGTGTATTACAAATATGTAGAGTCGTTTAGATTCAAAAATAGATTTCACATGAAACTTAGGTATAAAAGGTTTTAATTTGACTAAAATCGTAAACAAATTCGAAGTGGATCAATCCAGCACAAATGGGGTCGGATCCATCGAATTTACACTTGAATATGTTCATGTATCGGTTTTTAATAGGAGTGGCTTTCTATGTATGAGCTCATTTCACATAACGAAAATTGCAATGAACTACTTGGTGTCTTTTAATAATTTCGAGTGATAAGATTGGTCATCAGAAAATCTAATGCTTTTTAGAAAACAAGAAGAAATAGAGTTCTTCCACATGCAGCAAAATTTCTAGATTTGTCGTTTATTTTGTTTATTTTAGACATGCCAATTCATCAAAAATATAAGAAATCAAAAGTAGTGTAAAAATCGTCATTAGTTAACTCAAATGCAGATCAAATACATACAAAATTATATAAACAAAAACAAAATAAAAATATTGCAAAATAAAAAATTTACTTGTAGCACTGGTGTGTTTAAATTTTCTTCGTTGAATTTTCATCAATATTTGGGTATCCCATCACCTTAGTTTGGACTTTGTCAAAATCTAAAATGATATCATAATTAAGTCCATAACCAGCCGTGGGGTTTACTCCGAAATTATGTGAAGTGCAATAAATGTTTTGTTTCAGTCTTTACACCAGCCACTAGTCTTCATTTGCCATTTGCAGAAGGATATTAATAAGAATACTGAATCAAGAGATTGGAAATTAAGAAAGAGAGATGGCAAAAATTATCGACACTACTCTTGCTTCTCCACAAGAGTTATTCAAATTAACCGGTTAGTGCTTGACATATATCCTAATTATTTTCATAAATTCAGTAGTAAATAGTGAATACCAGTAAAATTCGTAAATATTTTGTCTAATTTTAAAAATTAGTTTTCCAAATTCTAATTTTTGACTAACTCATATATAAATTTTTTATATAAAAGTACCAATAGTTTGAGACTTTATTTTTGCTCAGTTTAATGTTTGATTTGTTCATTTGAATAAATAAAAAACAAATCGATATTTTCTTTAGTTAAGTTTTTGAGTATGGGTTTGGTTTTGTTAAAACAGAATAAGCACCTCTTTATTCATTTTCATTAATTGTTATTTTAATAGAGCATAGGCGGAAGATGATCACAGTATGTCGATCGGATGATAAACGAGATGGTACATATATTTCACCAGCCTCATCTCCACTCTCATCCCCTTCGGATTCCACAGAAAATCGACAAGCTGGTATCAATATTTCGCCATCATTATCTCCATTTTCATCATCTTCGTTGTTGTCATTAAGGCGACGATCTTCGCGGCCATTGTTGTTGTCACCAGCACCATCACCGTGCTTTGAATACAACATTTCTTGAAAACAAACAAGTATGTATAAGACTAAGATTATGTATAAGATTATGTTGCTATCGCTGATAAGCTATAAATACATTATACGTAAAAGATTGAATTTCCTTTTTAATATAGTATATAGCATAGAGTGAATATAGATTTTAACTATATATACATATATTTGTAATAACAAACTTACAGTAAAACCGATGATTCAGTTTTTGATTAATAATACATTCACATTGAGTAGAAAATACCATCGGAATGTAAAAAAAGAGTCAGTACACAATCTAAGCGCCATTACACAACAAAAGTTACTTGGGATATCCGAAATCACCAGGAGGGTGAAAAACCTCAAACAATCATATAGATGATTTTCTTAATTGTAGTGTGTTAAAAATTTATTGGGCTTGGGATGTCGGCTGCTTGTAAACTTTCTTTCATTTTTTTTCCTCAATAAAATCATTGAAAACTAAAATACAAAGAAAAATCACTAGAAACCAAGAGAGTAAAAGATTAAAAATGATTGGCAGAGATTTCATTTGTTTTATTTTTGACTTTTTATGTGTCTTCATAGCTAAATGGAATTTTAAAGTTTAACTGGAAAGAACAAATTGTGAGAGAGGAGAGAGAGAGTGGCAATAAGTGGTTCTTCAGGTTTAGGTCACGTGCTCATGTTTCTTCTTCTTCTTCTTAGCACCCTCTTTCACCATACCGAATCTGCTTTGCCCTCTGATCATGAACAACTCTCAATAACTGGTTAGTGTTTCAACACACATACATATTGCATACATATACAGATGCATATGTTATGTAATTAAATAAGTAATTTCAATGTTTAAATTTTTTGATACATATAATCTACATATTTGAATTTGAAAAAACTATAGATTCATGAGGTCTAGCTAAAGTAAAATGACAGAGTTCATAAAAATATTCTAAATTACAGAAATGAGGTCTCATGAAATGACATAGACTTTTTCAATTGTACATACATAATTACATATTGGTTTTGTCGATATTATTTCATCTTATATAGTTTGATGATCATTACCTTATACCAATCTATTAAACACTTTTTTATACTAGAGATTTTTTTTTTAATTTTTGCTAAGTATTAGATTTAATAATATAATATATTAATATCCACGAGTGTATATCTCGCCATTTGGGATTTGAGTCAATATGTAGTAGTTTTTAGGTCAGCAATTAGTTAAAGGTTAACTCTAGCAAAACATAAAGTTAATCTAGATTCTGATATAAAAATTTCAGTTAATAATCTGTTCTGTTGGTAATTAATCCAAGTTTTAGAAGAAAAAAAATGGTTTTAAAAGATAGATTTTTTCTGCTCTTTTATTAATAATGATGACAAATTGTAAACTTCAAAAAAAAGATTGAAAATTATTATTCACAAAAATGATGTATTTCTATTTAAATTTTAATTGTTTTCGTAGTATGTGTAAAAAAAAATTAAGACTGGAATTAACTAAGAACAAATGGAGTATTCTGTTGATACCATTTCCAGAACTATTAAAGTAGAAGGACACTTAAGATGCATATAATTAAAAGTTACGGTGACTTTAATAGTTTGATTTGACTCCTTATGCATTAACCAGTTTTCTTATGAAACTATCTACATATATAAAGAATAAATATCTTTGTTGAAGGATTGACTCACCTTCTGAATAGGGCTGAAAGAAATGGTAACCTAAATGGCATTCAATTCTCAGCCTTTTCCTGTGCAAAGCTGAACATAGTCAGATTAACACTCTCAAAGGAATTCTGGAAGACTATGGAGAAGCTACTGGCCAAAGGGTAAATTTAGACAAATCTTCAATCACCTTTGGGGCAAATGTGGAGGAGAGTTGTAAACTAGACATCAAAACAAGTCTTGGCATCATGAATGAGGGTGGAGCTGGTACCTATCTTGGTTTACCAGAATGTTTCAGTGGCTCAAAGATTCAGTTGCTTGATTACATCAAAGACAAGCTGAAGGCAAGATTGAATGGATGGTTTGCTCGTTCTCTTTCTTTGGGTGGCAAAGAGATTCTGCTAAAGGCTGTGGCAATGGCAATGCCAGTATACGCCATGTCATGTTTTAAGTTGACCAAAACGACTTGTGACAACTTGACTAGCGCAATGGGAGATTTCTGGTGGAATGCACTGGAAAACAAAAAGAAGATTCATTGGGTTAGTTGGGAAAGGTTGTGTTTATCTAAGGCTGAGGGAGGACTAGGTTTCAGAGACATTCAAGCCTTTAATCAAGCATTATTAGCCAAGCAAGCTTGGAGACTCCTCCAACAGCCGGACTGTCTTTTTGCACAGCTAATGAAGAGCAGGTATTACGAATGGGATGAGTTTCTCGATGCTAATATGAGTGCTAGACCTTCATATGCATGGAGGAGCATTTTACATGGAAGAGCTTTGCTGGTTAAGGGTTTAAGAAAAATGGTTGGGAATGGAAAATCCTTGAATGTTTGGATTGATTCTTGGATCCATGATGATGTTTTGAGAGCTCCTCTAATCAAAAATCCACTCATTGATATTGATATGATGGTGGAGGACCTCATTGATGTGGAGGCTAGAGACTGGGACAGAGATGTTTTGGAAGATTTGTTCTATCCAAATGATATTCTTCTAATTCTATCTAAGAAACCAGTGGTGTCTAAGGATGACTTTTGGTGCTGGGAACACACTAAGAGTGGAGAATACTCCGTCAAGTCAGGGTATTGGTTCGCATCTAGATTCAACAACCATCAATCCTTTCATACGGCCAACCTGCAGCCTTCTTTAAATGCTTTGAAGGAGCAAGTATGGCTGATCCAAACGGCTCCAAAGTTGAAGGTCTTTATGTGGAGAGCACTGAGTGCGGCTTTACCGGTAGCAACCTTGCTAAATCATAAAGGAATGTCCATTGATGAGAGATGTCAATTTTGTGCTCAGGAAGGAGAATCTATCAACCATATTCTCTTCACTTGTCCTATTGCTCGTCAGGTTTGGGCTCTTTCTGAGTTTCCTTTCCCTCCTGATGGGTTTAGTGAAAATTCTGTTTAT